AGCCAGTGGGGAAAAACCCATTTCATCTATGAGCTACGCTTAACATCAGACACCATCTTTGACATTTTCTCACTATTTTGCACATAGCCTCAGTGGCACTCTGGGAAGAAGACAGGTGGGATTGACCCCATTTTACAGATGAGTAAATGGGAACCCAGGGAGCTTAGTGCCTTTCCCAAGTGAGGACTTCCCCATCACACTGCACATTGGTATTTCCCACCAGGTGTCAAATTCCACACAGACCCCACAGCAGAACCAGGTCCCTGGGGAGCCTTTGAATCAAGCAGCTCATGACAATGCCCCCAATGCCCCTTCTCTGAATCTCAAAGAAGGGGTGCCTTAATACAATGGGAACAGTGGAAGCAGCCTGCGGCAGTGCTGAGCAGGGCCAGGGCTCACCGGCTGCAGGCTCTGGGACTCCAGCAAGTTTCAGGCTGGGAGGGGTCCTCTGTGAATTGCCATGTTTGCTATTGTCTCCTTCCCAGGGTGCCCCTAAGTTCCTCCTGTGTTCCCAACCTCCTCCCCTCTTCTTTCCCCAGGACTCGCCTTTTTGGATCCACCTACACATCTATGTCCCCTTTGCATTCAGCCTCTTGCTCTTCATGGGACATTTCTCCTCGTAAATAAACATGGCCTTGTCCTCAAAGCTAGAAAAACCTTCCCCCAACCCTGCAGCCCCTCCTCTTAGCTTGACCTGAGCCCCGAGGCTAAGGCGACTAAATGACTCCATATTTATCATCAATGGACCTTCTTCAGTAATAAGTTAATTACACCTAGAAGTAAAGGAATTATGCCTAAGGTTATGGTTGCCCTAAGTGTTGGAAGGTATCTTGCAGTTTCCAAGTGTTGGAAACTGAAAATCATAAACCCAGTGATGAATGCTAATTTTGACTTCTGAAATTGCCTGTCACTCCCACTATTGTACCAGTCCCCTGAGGGGAGCAAAAGGGAATGGGGCTTCCGTCTTTAAAGCAGATGAGTGTAATAGGTGTAATAAAATGCTCCTTTACAATTCGGTTATGCATCTCTGGTTACCTCGCTGACAGCTGACACGTTACAACAAAATACCCCTGTCCCCCAACCTGTCCTCTCCCTGACAAGCTTGCCCTGGATTACCCACTGTGGTTGCTGAGCCTACACACTTTTACCTTCACCCTTTACTGCAACTGCTCACCAAGCATCCTTCTCAATCGCCCAAATAATAATAACTACCACGCATTGAAGAGCCCACTGCTGCAGGCATTGTGCCATCTACCCTTACAACGACCTTAAGGGACAGATACTGTAATCCCAGGTAATAGATGAGGCAACAGAGGCTCACGGTACATGTCTGGTTTAAGCTCACAACAGTCTGATTCTGAAGTCAGTGCCTTCCCTGCTCTGCCACTGTCACCCTCGCTCAGGTTTTCCAGACTCCTTTTTGACTCCTACCATGTGGCAATAACCTGAATATTGGGATTTGACTGCTGGCTCACAGTTTTTTTATATGGCTAAGTAGACTTCAAGTTCCTCGGGATGTTGAACTCTTTTTCAGAGGGCACCTCGAGGAGGAACAGGTTGGAACTGCAGAGGAAGGACCATCTGGGTGCCACGACTTGGCATAGGCTCTCCTTGGGAGTCATTCATGGTCCCCACAGTCTGTCAGCCTTCTGGAGGACGTGTGGGGGAAGGCATGCTGGTGCAGGGAGGGCTCAGCTTTGCATCGGACAGATGGGCTTTGGAATTCTGGTTCTGTTACTTATAGCTGTGTGACTTTTTTGGTCAAGTCACTCAGCTTCTCTAAGTTTGATCTCCTCATCTGTAAGAAATGAACATACAACAACAACAACAAAAAACAAAAACATTGGCCTGCGGACTAGAGAGTCCCAGGTTCAGTTCCTGCTAGGGTCACATACCAAAACCAAACCAAAACAAAACAAAACAAAAAATGAGTAATGCTACCTGCTATGTGGAGTGGTAAGGATTAAATGGCATGGTCTAAAAATACCTACTAGTCTTTCCTCCCTCCCCCTTTAATGGTAACCCTTCAGAACTTGCCCATTATTCAGAAGCTTGTTGTTATGGCAATGTGGAACCCCAAACACATTTACTCATAAAAGCCAGTAGCCCTGAACTTCACGAAGTCTTGTCCCAACACCAGCCTACCTTACCGTCCTCTTTTTCTTCCCACACCCCCATATGGACTTGACTTTCAAGCCATGGTGGTTCTTCAGCTGTCTTCCAAACACTCATCAGCTTACCCATCCACAAGTTTTTACTCCTTTATCCTGAAATCTCAGAACCAACCAGAAAATCAATATCCAGGTGAAATCCAAATTCAGCTCTTCCACTCCCTGATGATCTGCTCAGAACTGATCTCTCGCATCTGAATTCCTATTCCACCTTATGTAAACTGTTCATAGGAGCTTTATAATAAAAGTCACAACATATTGTCTTTTGTGTTTGTTATAACAGGAGTGTCATATTCTTATATCCCTCACTCTGTTTAATAACCATTTGTTATTGAATACATGAATAATAATAGCTACACTTGTTGAGTGCATGCTAATATGCCAAGTAGTATGCTATGCCCTTTATATGCATTTCCTCATGTAATTATTATAGCAAGGTTAAAAGAATGTATTATAATCACCACGACCTGTGAAGGAGCTCAAGTTCAGATGGATGAACTAACTCTCCAAGGTCAAGTGTCCAGAAAGTAGCACAAGAATTCCAATCTAGGGAATGAATGACACCAAGCTCTGTGTTCTATTTTCCAGGACAGAGAGCCTAGATTATACATACATACATAGCTAAAATTATCTACTGGGGACATTTTCAACCTCAGATTTGGGTGCGACTTTCATCAATGTCCTAGGTCGACAGGTGAGTCAAGGCAGTTCTTTTCTGACCAGAGATCAGCCCAAGAAAGCATAAGAGAAAGAGTCCAAATGAGGTCCACTAAATGTTGCAGAACACGTTTATTGCCACTAGAGGGCTCCTTCCCCTAAGGCAAAAAGTGCAGCATGGCAGGGACGCAGCTGCTGGCGGTGAGGCGGACCTGGGCTCCACTTCGCCTTCCCGAGCTTTAATCCATTTTGCTTAAATCCCTGGATCAGCGCAGAGTTTGGCCAGCTCCTGGAGGAATCCATAGCAAAGTGCCCCAACCTGGAGCAGTGGGGAAAGGATGAGCCACTCCTCTCCAATTTTCACAGCCACATCCCAGGCTCCCCTGGGTTGGGGGTGCTATGGGGTGGGCGCTAGACTCAATTGGGGGCCCCTGTATAAACTCATGATTGCGTGAGGGGTGGGGGAGGGCAGAAAAGTAAATCTTCCTTCCAGGAGATGAGGAAATTTAATGGAGGTAATCCTGAAATGCGTCCCCCAAATGCCAGCCCCTCGTCTGGTCCAGGTCCTGAGCCCCGTGCAAAGGACAGCACGGAAAGTGGCCCAAGGCCACCTCACTTCGGCAGGCTCTGGGGCCCAGCGCCGGTGTAGATTTTGCTGAGTGGGAAGGGGGCACTCTCCAGAGTAGCTAAACACCGATTTGTTTGAAAATACTCCACAGAGGGAGCCACCTCTCGGGGCTGCGCAGAAGCAGCCGGGAAAGTCACTCACTTTCACACTTTCTCAGGCTAGCAGAGGCGTTTCTGCAGCAACACACTGGGTTACCCCGGGAACCCCGGGTGGGGTTGGAAGTAAGGACTCAATGATGGATTTTAACACCGTATCAATAGCAGTGCTTTTGGAGTGATGTTAAGTCAAAAGAGGCAAATTATTAAACCGTATCTAAGCTATTAATACAATTACGTGCCCAGCCGATGTGGCTCAGTGGTTGAGCCTGGACCCTGGTCGCTGGTTTAATTGTCTGTCAAGGCACATGCCGGGGTTTCGATCCCCAGTCAGGGGCACGCAGGAGGCAGTCAATCGATCTCTCATCGATGTTTCCATCTCTCTCCGTCTCCCTTTCTCTCTCTCTCTCTCAAAAAATCAATTGAAAACATATTTTTAAAAATACAACTGGGTAAAATAACATACGGTCAAGGCTTGAGAGGGGATCAGGGAGGTGGCGGGCAGGCCTGATGATCCTCCTCTTTTTTTAGATTTGTTGTGTTTGCTAAATTATGTGTACATTTAAAGCGTGAAGAAAAGTTGAAGCAAATGTAAATTGTGTTATAAGACATTTCCAGAAGCTTCACCGTCCCTGTAGGGTGTCAGAAATACGACAGGCAGCTGGACCTGAAAGTTCTGGATGGAGAAACCCTAGCTCAGCGTCACCGAGAGTGAACTTGGTTCGAGCCACAACAGAGGGAAGATGTGAACGTAGGTGAGAACATTTTCCCATAATGACCGCCTACCCTCTCTATCCTGAATCCTGCTGAGCGCCCACTTCGAAGGCATCGGCCTGGCCTGGGTCTTGGCAGGAACCAGGAGGCTCTAGCCCGGCCTGCAGCTCAGGGCAGGCCCTGCGGCCGCCCGGGAGAGGCGGCTGGGCATTGTTTCAGTCCCTCGGGTGGGGTCCTGCAGCGGGAGGGGAGGAGATTTGCTCTCGGGACCCGCCGCGTGGCCCTCCCAGGGGACCAGTGCATCAGCAAGTCTGAGCGCTTGTGCTTTGTGAACCCTCGGGAGTCACCATGGAAACTCAAAGGAATGCGGAGCAGGTCACGAGGGGAGTCCCTGGATTCCCCGGCTGCGCCCTCTGCCCCTCTCGGACCCTGGCCCTGAAGCAGGGCCTGTCGGGAGTTGTAGTCCCAAGGCGGCGGCCGAGCGCGGAGCTGAAGATGCAGGGCGCCTCCTGTCCCCGCCTCCCGCTAACCTGCTAGAGCGAGGTGGGGGACACTGGGGCGGAGCCGTGGGATCCGTGATTGGCCGAGGCCACCTCTAGCCCCCACCCACGCCCCTCCCCCGCTCGAGGCTTGCGACTCCAGCGCCCGGCGCGCCAAGGCGGCTATCGAGCGAGCGCGCGTGCAGCCGCCGCCGCCCCGAGCACCCGCAGCTCCGGCGCCGCGGCGAGACCTAGGAGATACTGACGAGCCCACGGACCCTCGCGGCCGCAGCATCCCGGAAGAGTGGGTGACGGCGGGGCGGGCGGTGGGCTTATTCTCCCCGGCCTGGGACGTGCATCTCACGACCTGTTTCTCTGCGAGGCGCACAAAAGGGCGGGGATTGGTGTGCGCCTCGGGGCCCCGCTGCAGGGAACGCAGTGAGAGGATGATTTGGGGTTGTGGGCTAGGCTGGGACCCGAATCGGGTCCTCTTTGTACGCTTACAGAACGTCGTGCGGTGCCTTGCTCACAGTGGGCGTTTAATGTGTGCTGGTGGGATTGCAAAAAACTGGGTGAGGAGGCGGCGTGGTTGAAAGGGATTCACTCCTAGGACACTGAAGGCGCCCAACCTCGCCCGTGCAGGGGAAGGCTGGAAGGCTGGGCGGGGGCGTCTCTGGCTGCGGGCCCGTCCTGTCTGAGTCCCTAGCTCGGCGCTGTCCCCAGCCCCCACCCGTACACACACACCCTGAGTCCATCTCGCCTTCGAGTTGGGGTTTGCCGAGGCCGGACCCGACCGGCAGCCCGTCCCAAGGGTCTGGCTAACGGAGCGGACGCCGGAGGAAGACTCCCTGCCGCCTCCGAGGCACCTGCCTGCCTCTGCCGGGCCCGGAGAGGGCGCTGGGCTGAATCCCTTCGCTTGAGCCCAGCCCGGGAGCCCAGCCCGCAGCATCGAGCTTGGCGGGCGAGAGACAGCGACGCCCAAGCCTGGGTAGAGGCAGGAGTTCGAGCTGGAGAGAAGCTGGGATGGGGAGGGGCGGAGGCGAGGCCACTGTCTGAGCAAAGATGGGGAGAAGGGGAAGCTGGGTGGGGACTTGTTCCTGGGTCTGGGAGGAGGGAGAGGTGGACACCAGGGTTTGAGGAGGAAAGAGAAGGGGGCGGAGGGCGGGTCTGATGAGGGAGGGAGGGAGCTTGATGCAGGTGGCGCGAGGCGAGGCTGGGGCTGGTGAAGAATAAGGCGGCGAGGGGAGATGCTGGAGGGTGGAGACCGTCTGGGTTTGAGGAGGGTAGACTCGAGGGAGGAGGAGGCGTGTGCAGTACGGAGGAGGGAGGTCTCCGGGGAAGGGAGGGGCTGGCAGCTGGGAGGCGGGTGTAGGGCCTGAGGACCCTCAGCTCTAGACGCGGGGCCTGGAGTTCCAGGTGGTCGGCTGGGCGTGGCTCCTGGACCTAGCAACAGACGTGAGTCTGGGACCCGACTGGTCTGTCCCCGCAATGAGCTTTGTCTCCCAGCATGACACAAGCCCGTGGGGACTCCTATATGGTTTTGTGATAATCCGCAGCGCCGCAGGCACACCCTTTTCGTCGGGAGCTGAAAGGCTTGGTCCAGTGGCAGATGCTGCCAGGGAGGCGGAATGGGAGCCGTCTCCAGCCCGGGAGACCAGAACAATAGCCGGCACTGATCTCCGCCCGGCGATGAACTAGGGCCCCCAGAACTCGTGTGCAGTTTTCTGGTGCAGAATGTGCTCCCGGAGCAATCTCGGGGCAGGTGCTCATCTTGGGGTTTGTGTTGGGGCACCAAGCCCCGCCGTTAGTGCCTGGGTAGGAGTCGAGCGTTCTGCCCCCACCCCCACAGGCTGGGGGGCGGGCAGGCGCCGCGGCTCCTGGCTCTGGTGCCTTCTCGTTGCAGCGCCGCCGCCTGCCCCACACTGCTGCCGAGCTGTAGCCTGGCGGCTCGGCGGCGACCTGGAGGTCGCCTCGGTGTAGAGCGGACTCCCTGAGATCTGGCTTTGTCTGCAAAGGCAGGCACACCGAAGGGCTGCTGTGTGTTCTTAGAGGGACAGTCGGGGCTGGTGGGGATTGTGGTAAAATCGGGAGAAGCGGCCGTGGAGATTACCCGCCAAGGGTGCGGCTCCTGGTCTTAGAGCCTGTAGCCAGGGGACCAGCGCTTATCTTTGCCAGTGACCACACCCAAGACAGTACATCCATCCTTTGCAGATCTCGCCCGTATTGTCTACTGACCTAAGACAAGGACGGCCCTGTGATAGGAGGTGGCAGCTTGCCCTTGGGAAAGCAGATGAACAGCAAATGGAAACACAAAACAAGGATTCAACAGAGCTTTCCATGCACTCATAGTCTTGCTCCCTGTCTAAGCACCTTTCATGTCAGGCTGCAGCATCTTAGGTGTGAAATGACAACCCAAAACCAGAATCCTGTTTTACAGGTTTTCTTTGATCATTGTTTAGCTGATATTAAAGGTGACTGTTTAGCATAAGGTTTATAATTTTAAATTGTTGTTCATTAAAATAAAAAGAGCGAGGCAAAAGTATTTATATTCCATAGTGGAGGAAACTTGGCTAAATGACAGCATCATAGGACTAATTGATGTGATTTGCATTTGCCATTAAATTATCTGATGTGTCTTTTGGCCTCTTAACCTAGTCTTCTTGAAACTTCCAGATTTTTTTTCATAATCAGATTGATGCATAAGTTGAGGGGCTGTGATGCGACTGTTGGCTCTTGCCCACAATGTATGGTAGTTGGCAATGTGAGGTCTCTTGTTTGGGTTGTACCAAGTGACCACAGGACAGCAGCAGTAGGCTATATCTTGCCGGTTTAAAAGGATGATGCTTTGCCCTGGCTGGTGTGGCTCAGCTGGTTGTGTTGTTCATGCAAGGAGAGGAGAAGTCTCCCTTGGATTGCCCCAGTGAGGGGTATGCAGGAGGCAGCCAATGGATGTTTCTCTCTCTCGTCCATTTCTCTCTTTCAAATGAATAGAAACATATTTTTAAAAAAGTAAATGATAGTGCTTTGAGGAGGTAGCTCTCAGAATTTATAAAACTAGCAAAAGGACTAGCTGGAATGTTGCTCATCGTATGTTTTTAACTAAATTAATAGGTCTACCGATCTCCAGAGTAGGTGAAAAGCAGGTATCCTAATATTAGAAAACTGGAAATGTGACACTGAAGGTTTTTCTTGTGGAAAAGCACCAATAGGAAGTGTGTTTTTATGTCATTACCCAAGGGAAAAGTTTTAGGAGGGGGTGTTTTCTTGTTTTATTCTTTTTGAAAGAATTTTATGGATTTGTTTAAGGGTGTAATCCTGTCCTGGCTGGATAGCCTAGTTGGTTAGAGCGTTGTCCCAATATGCCAAGGTTTTGGGTTTGATCCCCAGTCAGGGCACATGCAAGAATCAACCAGAATGCATAAATAAGTGGTACAACAAGTTGATGTTTTTCTCTCTCTCTCTCTACAAAATAGGGAAAAATGTTTAAGTGTAATTCTAAGAAGGCACTGTGTGAAGATCCAACCCAACGTTTTCCTCATGGTGGGGAGTTCATAGATGAGGAATGCTAGTAGGACCAACCCATTTCTACAGGGAAGATGAAGAGAGAGCAGCATCTCCCGCCCACCTCCTGTGACAGTGCCTGGGCAACAGGGCCCAGAAGGGAGAGGCAGGTGGCCCTAGAAAGATCCTTATGTCCTCAGAATTCTGGGGTGCCGTTCCTAGTTCCCATCTGCAAGAGCCTGGAGACCTCTGCTAGGGACAGATGTTCGTGGGACATGAAGACCTGGCTGTTTTCAGCATAACCTGTCCAGGATGCAGATGTAACCAAGATAGTTTCAGTATTCTCAGTGCACTGCATGTTTTCACCTCTAGAAACAGTTATACAGCAAGGCAAGTTTACACAACTGGCCCAGATTAGGTTAGGGGACTTGGGGTAAGCTTCCTCTGTGGTACCTCCACCTCTCTCTGTCCTCCTGCTATGAACTTCGAGTTCCCCTCAATAGCTCCTCGGACCCAGGTTTTAGTGTGATCCTGCATTAGCTCCAGGGCACTGTAGGCCAAAGGCCATAACAATGGACAAATCTCTGGGGTAAATTAAGATTTAGATGCATATTGAGAGCCAGATAAGTCGGTATTATTAGAAAAGAGTGTCCAAGACCCAGTCTATCTTTTTGGTGTAAAAAAATAACCAAATTCTGATAGCATCTGATCCTGTACATACATTTTTGTTTTCTGAACTTCAAGAAAATATTTCAAAATAGTCTTCTAAGGCTAGGTCACAGGAGCCTGTAGGAGAACAATAATACAGAGCACCTTTGTCAATGTGAAAACCTGTAGGAAGAAATTGGTGTCATATGAACTCAGATGAGAATAACAAGTAAGAAGATGTTTGATTTTATTGCACTGTTAGTGAATAAATGAGAAGTCATCTCAAGATTGCTTTGCCTTAAATTTTTTATGTGAAGATCAAAGGTTCACATATGATGGTATGAATTTTTAATGACCTTTAATATTTATGTATAAAAGCAGATACATCATATGCTTTAACAAAATAAACTCATGGTGGACTATTATTTATGATTTGTTCTATTTCAATTTTTAAAACTCATTAATTTAAAATAAGTTGACTTAACCATAACATTCCCTGAGCCCCTCATGCCCTCCCATCAATCACGGCTCAGTTTAGTGCTTGTTCCTGTGCCTGCTCACACTGGACCTCCTCCTCTCAATCCAGGCTCAGAAGCCATGTGTACAGGAAGGAGAAAGGGTCTGACCCAGAAAGCCTGGGGTCACATCCCAACTCTGTTACTTTCTGTTTGTCTGTCTTTAGGCGAGTTAGTTTTCTCTCAGGGACTCAGTTTCTTCGTCCATGTGAGGGGATTATATGACTTAATATACGTATAGTACTGAGGGCAGTGTCTAGTACTTGGTAAGTGCTCAGTGAATGTTAGTTATCACCTTCAGCAGCATCTTCATAATCTTCCCCCAGAAAGTGTGCTCACAAATACAGCATTTGGATTTCCCATTTAATCTTTCATCCCAAGGAGCCAGGCAGGCTGCTGTGGTTATCAACAGTGAGAACAGAGAATGATGAGGACCCTTTTCCGAAGCTCCCACCTTTGCAAATAGTAGGAATAGCTCTGTGCTGAGTCTGAGCCTCTGTCAGCACAGCTGTTTACGCAGCTGAGAACTTGCAGAGTTAAGAATGTTCCAGAGTGCTCTGATCCCAGCTTTGCTGAATTATCCCCCGTGTATAGGGTTGGCCTGGTGTCTCTCCCTGCTCCTGAACCACCTAAATGAACA